ACTTGATGTTGTCACTTTTTCCGCGACTGCCTCTCATGAGATCTCTCAACAGTGGCGGCACATCGACTCGCTCCTAGTGTAACGGAATGCCTCCGGGGCTGAGAAGAGTCAGATTTGTATTTGCGCTTTGAGCATCGTCATCGTACTGCCTGGCTTGTAGTCATTCCAGTAGTTTATATCCAAATCGCTACCCTCGAGCAAAAGGAAGTCCAGCAACCAAAATAGTAGAGACGGTGGTTCATCTACAGCAGAATAATTCAAGTCTGACTTACTCGAAAAAGCATATCGTAGTAAGGCTTCAGTAAGTTTACATGAAAATAGTTGATAAGCTTTCAGATATTCAGTGTATATTCAATTTTTTCGCTACGACCATAAACGATACGATGTAGCCCAGTCGCAATTATGTCCTAGATACAACAAACACTGCATGTGTAGGTAGGTTGATTGCACTTACTAATACCTGTTACCCTGCACACTCGTTTGTAACCCGTTTGCCTCTGACTTCTGTGTGTCGCTGATATTTGTACTGCATTGTGTCGCGCTCCCTCCGCATGACTCTCGAATTGAGAACGATAGAATCTTAGATTTCGATACAAAGTGTAGCCGGGCTGATATTAGCAAGTCAAATTTTTCGACAGCTCCCCGTCCACTAAGGCTGGAGCTAGTTCGTTGCGGAATCACAGGCATTTGAATCTTACCAAACCTGTTGAATGATGCAAAGTTTGGTATGTACTGCGTTAGTTGACGCAAAGTCATTCAGTGTGAGCAAATCGCTCCAGCACCGCTTCTTTCGGCGCAAGTGCTCTGGAGGGTATTCTTCTCAGCGTAATACACGCGTTTTGCTTGACCACATTTTACAAATGCTCAGCATGAGTCATTTCTGCCACCGTCAGCACTGTTTGCCATAAGAGCGCGTATCTTATATGATACAATGGCTACCGATAAGCCGTGCTGGCGAAATACAGTGTCGGGAAGCAGCTCAATCGTATTCTTACCGGTTACGTTGTAGCTGACAGCAGCACAACAAAGCCATTTTTCACTGACGACCATAATACAGGTCTAATCGAACGCATCCGTTGGAAGACCAAAACGTCTGTACTTATAAACTGTCATCACTCTGCTGGAACAGTCAGACATGGCTAAGAACACTGGCACATGGGGCGAGTTTTTGCATACACACGTCATTCATGTTATGTTGCCAAAACAAAGTGCTAATCAAGGAGTATGACTTCATCGTGTCGAGGTTGCCACCCAGGAATTAGGTGCAGGTGATCAACCACGCGTTTCAATAAAGCAAAAAAGATCTGTCAAAACCCTTGCATTCAAAAGCTTACAGCATCACGTCACATTTTGCAGCTAACCTGTACGCTATACCTATCGTCTGATTAGCTGCTGACATAAACATTTTGGCGTGGGAAATTATTGTCAGGCCACGGCAAAATTGGTAACGGGGTTACACGTACCCTTGTATGAAAGAACGAGCCGTACAAGAAGGTGTGACCGTACATTGACGTGGTATTACACAAGTTGGTGTTATCACACGAAGGTGTGGCTAACCGTAACAAGAATCCACTACGTGGCAGGATTGCCAGTAGTCATGCACATTTATTAGCTTTTACTATATTAGTTAGGTATTACTGTATTGATTAGGTATTTCTATATTAAGTAGGTGTTGCTATAATAATTAGAAAAACCTACGGTTTTAGATATCGGCGGCTCTGCTGCAGCTAAACAATTAAACACAGTTTCAATTTTAAAGAGAAGAGTCCATTTGCCTTGGTTAAGGTTTTAGGTTACTCTTGAAGGTAGCGGATTGCATTCCGCTACACTCGTGCTGAATCTTGTAAAGTGCGTAAGGTCGGTAACCTTAGCTTGGCTTCTTCTAAGCAAAGAGCTACGCCATCCCCGCTGCACTTGGTAGCACACATAGTCAATCTACGCGTGAGTCGTTAGACTGATCGCCAGTGAGGACGAAGCAATACTCCGGGGCATGTAGGACGAACTGAATAAGCTGATGTCCCTGCCGGGCCCTAAGGGCGTGCGCACCTTGTTTCGCAAGGCCCTAAAGCGATACACGCGCGCCTACCGGCGTTTTCGAGCTATCAAAGCTCTGCTAGTGCATCTACAGCAGAAGCTGTCGGCGTTGACTGCGTCCATGAAACCACTGTCGACGACGGATGACTCCACCTGACCGAGGCCGTTGATGGTTAGCGTAAAGACCTTCGAGGGTTAAGGTGGGAGAATATCTCCTGCACTGGGTAAGAGAGGCCGAGATGGCCATGGCATTCGCCATGCTCCAGAACGAGCAACAGCGCGTGGCGCTAGCAATCTCCAAGCTCGGGGGCTGAGCGCAAGAATGGGTACTAACGTGCGGTGTTCGGTTGAAGCTGCATTTCCCTCCTGGGAGGAGCTGAAGAGTCAGCTTTTGCGAGTGTTCTCGCCGCCAAATCAGGCATATCACGTCGATTGCGTTTCCTTGTCGCCCTACAGAGCAAGAAGGAGTTGGTGGACTTTGTCCAAGAGTTAAGAACTCTTATCGCCGGGATAGCATCCGATCCTCTCACCGATGCAGTCGCAGTGACTGTCTTTAGAAGGGGTCTCCGCACTGGCATGGCCAGAATGGAAGTCTTCCATCTGCATCCGTCTTCTTTTGAAGAAGCGGTGAACGTGGCATTAAATGCCGAATTCAACTTTAAGTTAGCACGACTTGGTTGGAATGCACACCCGCAGAGCTCGTCGAGCGAACCTGACCCAATGGATCTCATCTATGCTGAGAACGAGGAGGGAGGGCTTTGAGCTGACGAGCAGCGAAGAAACATAATTGACGGTGTTTTGTATGTGGAGGCACCCATCTTCTTCGGACTGATTGTCCCCTGCGCAAATTGCGTAAAGGTTTGTCGAACCGACGTTTCGCTTCTCACCAGTCTGGTTTGTCGCGGGCAAACGACAAAACCTAGTAGCCGCGGGGCGCCCAAATGGGGGAGAACTGAGTTCTACTGAGCCTCAAAGAGGTAGAGGGCAGCACGGCTTAGCTCCGAAGAGCTACGTGCTCATAAACACGGAACGTGCTGATCGCAAAAGTGACCGTGAAGGGCTCTGAAAAACCATGGTAGATCCTTGCCAATTTCGGTGTGCCGGGCAATTATGCTCGACGCTCCACGATCGAAGTTTCTTATGCTGAGGCACTGAAAGAACGGTTGAACGACAGTCACTATTCGCTTAGCGACAGGGACTTGTGTCACTGTACCAAGGGTCCCTGTGGACCTCGGTGTCAAGTTTCTAGACTTTGATAGCGTGGAAAGCTGTCTTGACTTAGACTTGAATGCTTGGTATTATCTTATCCTTGGTATGGCATGGTTGAGGCACCACGAGCAATAGATTGATTGGAGATCTTAGGCGCTACGCGCACGTCTCCTGGTAGAGTTTTAGCGAGTAAAGAACCCACATCTGCTAGGAAGCAGAAGCACTTTTGGCGCGGGCACTGGACCGGGACGGTCAATGTGCTGGATATCGGAGAATCCGAGCTGTCAAACACTAAAGCTGTTTTCTCGGCCACCCAGAAACTGAACCAGCAACTGGGTCCGAGCACGGAAGGCAACAACCTCCATCTCCAATGGAGTCAAGCGCACCACTGTTGCCTGCAGCGACGCATTTTCCTGCTCCAAGGCTAGAAGTCGCTCCGACAGAGCGTGCTTGTCCACAAAGGCGGGACAGCCGGCGAGAATGTCAAAAATTTCTTGTAATCGTCCACCATTTCCCTCATATTTCCCCCACGACGCGCTCCAAATCATCAAGAGCGTCCACACAGCGATATGCTACTTCAGCATGACGCTCAGCGGAGCTCCGATCACGAAGGATCTCACTCTCAAGGGCTCGAAGAGTAATGCGAGTCGCCGGGCGGCAGTCAAACCGTGGTCACTGCTTGCCACCAACTCCTCTCGATTTGAACGGTGACGTCCACTGTCACGTGGAACGTTTAGTGAGACGACGTTGTCACCAGGGTCAAACCCAATATCTGGTGAAGTGGTGGGGATATCCTGATTCCGACGCCACTTCGGCAAGATTGCCCAGTCGCCGTGTACGCTTTTGATCAGAAAGATCAGGACGCCCCGCGCTTCCCGGCAAAATAGCCAGGGAAGTAGGGGTTGACCCATCCGTCGCAGGGCGACAATCTGAAGGGAGTCGACGGCGTGCTTTGAGTTTGCCAAACTCAAATCGGAGGTGGCGCTCCACACGCACGTCCACTTCCTTGAGGCTCAACTGCAGGTTATGCATTGAGGAAAGTTTCCGGTGCCGTTGCACCCATCGCTCAAAGAGCGCTTCATCATATGTAGCGCTTTCGCCAGGGGCAAGCACTACAGGTATTGTCTGCATCGCGGGATCCGCTCTGGCGCCAACGCTTCCGCGTTCACATGCGCCGGATCCCGATACGGCTAGAGCAAACCCACATAAAACACCGGGTGGGTGCGCATCCGTTTGGGAAGGTTTAGCATATACGCTAGGCCCTTCTTTACCACAACCTTAAACGGCCCTATAAACCGTGGACGAAGCTTCGTCCAGACGATAGCAGAGGCTGCATGTGTAGGAAGGTTTTGAAAGCTTAAGAAAACGAGGTCCCCGACCTTGAGACTATCCAC